GACCGGGCGCAGCCGTACACGATTGAGTATTTTACGCCGGTGTGTCGCCACTTGCGGAATACGAACCGATTACATGCTTGTTGTGGGATGCGGGCGCCAAGTAGAGCTTGCATTCCTGCAGAGCTGCGCCGGCGTTCCGCGTTGGGCGTTGTTGAGAGACGACGACGAGCACGCCCCCCGGCGGGTCACACTCACGCAGCTCGACACACTCTCAGCACGACACAGCAGTCACACGTCACACGACACCTTCGACAGCGCGTCACACCTCCGCCTCACGCACCCAGTCACCCGGCCGAATGCGGCAACGGACGCACGCCGGCGCAACCGCCCCACGACAGGCAGCTCTCGCACTCATGTTACCCTTACTGGCCTTGCGCCCACACCTTGATCTTCCTGGGCAGCAGCTGGTTCGACAGGTCCTCTCCTTGGCCTAGGCAGCCGTCTTCGCCCTCGCCCCAAGCGAAGACAGCGCCATCGGCGGTGAGGGTGAGGCTGTAGTCGTCCCCTGCCGACACCGCGACGATGCGCTCGCCAGCAGCGATGCGCGAGCCAGCAAAGGTCCCCATCTTCTTGGGTAGCAGCTGAGGCTCCTCGTCGCCGTGGCCCAACTGGCCACCGGCTCCCTCGCCCCAGCTCCAGACGGCGCCGTCGGCGGTGAGGGCGAGGCTGTGGCGGGCTCCTGCCGAGACAGCGACGACGCGCTGGCCAGCCAACGCCTCGATCTGCTTCGGCAGCAGCTGGTTCTGCTCGTCGCCGTGGCCCAACTGGCCACCGGCTCCATAGCCCCAGCTGCAGACGGCGCCGTCGGCGGCGAGGGCGAGGCTGTGCTGCCACCCAGCCGAGACAGCGACGACGCGCCGCCCAGCCAAGGCCTCGACCTTCTTGGGCAGCAGCTGGTTCTGCGTGTCGCCGTGGCCCAACCGGCCATAGGCTCCATAGCCCCAGCTCCAGACAGCGCCGTCGGCGGTGATGGCGAGGCTGTAATCAAATCCAGCCGAGACAGCGACGACGCGCTGCGCCAAGGCCTCGATCTTCTTTGGCAGCAGCTGGTTCTGCAGGTCGCCGTGGCCCAACATGCCAAACAATCCATAGCCCAAGCCGCAACATTGCCACGCCTACTCGCGCGAGCACGCAACGCGCTGGGTCGATTCTTCGATTTTCTTTTATTGGTTCCTTCAGATGATTATTCGTTCCTTCAGCAACGCTCCCGGCCCAGCGGGGATTTTGGCCTACTCAGTGATCGTCTAAAGGGCCCTAAAGGCCTGCACTGCCATATCTTTTGTGCCTAGGTTGTAGAGCACCTTAAAAAAGTACTTTGTCTTGGAGTGAAAAGTTTTTCGATGAGGTGGGGGTCAGAGAGATTTTTAGCAATACCAAACAACTCTAACACTCACACGTCATTTGGGGCCTGGAGCCCTGTTCACGCGCTGTTTGTTTGGGGTCAGTGGTGAGCAGATTCCCAGATTCTCCAGATTCCCCCTCGAAAACCTCCCCTTTTAATTCATTGCGGCCGCGGGTTTGCTCGGATTACTTTTCACTCGAAGACAGAGTAGTTTTTTGGTGTTCCGGTGCCTACAAAAATATCCGAGATCATATGGAGCTGACCACAGGGTTTGCTTTTGCGGGGTATGGTAGGTGTTGGGGGGTTCGCCGCTTTGTGTATCTCGAGACCTCAATGGTAGGTAGGCAAAATCTCTTCTCTCTCTCTCTCTCTCTCAAAGAGGCCAGAAGTAAAAACCATAAAGACCCCCAAAAAGCACGGCCTCAAACTCGAATAGCTCAAAGGGAGCCCGGGAGATTACATGGTCGCTCGCCGCCTGCCTGGCCGCCCCAAGGCCAGACGCTATACGTGGCAGCGATCTCGTCAGCCTCGCGCTGTCGCCCCGCCTCCGTCAGCACCTCGACAAGGTTGCGGGCCGAGCCCCTCGTCTCGTCATGCCCCTTTCCGTACCGCGCAGCGCACCCCTGCAGCTCCTCCCGGAAGAGAGGGATGGCGTCGCCGAGCCTCCCCTGCGTCTGCAGCAGCGAGCCGAGGTCATAGATCGAGGTGAGCGTGCTCGGGTGCCGGTCGCCGAGCGTCTCTCGCCTCGCCTCCAGCGCCTCGCGCCACAGCGCCTCCGCGCCGTCCAGGTCGCCCTTGGCCTTCAGCAGCGAGCCGAGGTTGTTGACCGAGCCGAGCGTGTCCGGGTGCCGGTCGCCGAGCGTCTCTCGCCTCGCCTCCAGCGCCTCGCGGAGCAGCGGCTCCGCGCCGTCCAGGTCGCCCTGGTCCTGCAGCAGCAAGCCGAGGTTGTTGATCGAGGTGAGCGTGTTCGGGTGCCGGTCGCCGAGCGTCTCTCGCCTCGCCGCCAGCGCCTCGCGCCACAGCGCCTCCGCGCCGTCCAGGTCGCCCTTGGCGTACAGCAGCGCGCCGAGGTTGTTGACCGAGGTGAGCGTGCTCGGGTGCCGGTCGCCGAGCGTCTCTCGCTGCCCCTCCAGCGCCTCGCGAAGCAGCGGCTCCGCGCCGTCTAGGTCGCCCTGGTCCCGCAGCAGCAAGCCGAGGTTGTTGACCGAGGTGAGCGTGTTCGGGTGCCGGTCGCCGAGCGTCTCTCGCCTCGCCTCCAGCGCCTCGCGGTACAGCGGCTCCGCGCCGTCCAGGTCGCCCTTGGCCTTCAGCAGCGAGCCGAGGTTGTTGATCGAGGTGAGCGTGCTCGGGTGCCGGTCGCCGAGCGTCTCTCGGCACGCCGCCAGCGCCTCGCGGTACAGCGGCTCCGCGCCGTCCAGGTCGCCCTTGGCGTACAGCAGCGCGCCGAGGTTGTTGACCGAGATGAGCGTGCTCGGGTGCCGGTCGCCGAGCGTCTCTCGCCGCCCCTCCAGCGCCTCGCGAAGCAGCGGCTCCGCGCCGTCTAGGTCGCCCTGGTCCTCCAGCAGCATGCCGAGGTTGTTGATCGAGGAGAGCGTGTTCGGGTGCCGGTCGCCGAGCGTCTCTCGCCTCGCCTCCAGCGCCTCGCGGTACAGCGGCTCCGCGCTGTCCAGGTCGCCCTTGGCGTACAGCAGCGCGCCGAGGTTGTTGATCGAGGTGAGCGTGCTCGGGTGCCGGTCGCCGAGCGTCTCTCGGCACGCCGCCAGCGCCTCGCCGTACAGCGCCTCCGCGCCGTCCAGGTCGCCCTTGGCCTCCAGCAGCAAGCCGAGGTTGTTGATCGAGATGAGCGTGCTCGGGTGCCTCCCGCCCAGCGTCTCTCTGTGCGCGTCAAGAGCCTCGCGGTACAGCTCCTCCGCCCCGTCCAGGTCGCCCTTGTCCTTCAGCAGCTCGCCGAGGTTGTTGACCGAGGCGAGCGTGCTCGGGTGCCGGTCGCCGAGCGTCTCTCGGCACGCCGCCAGCGCCTCGCGAAGCAGCGGCTCCGCGCCGTCCAGGTCGCCCTGGCCCTGCAGCAGAGTAGCGACACGGTCGATCAGCGTCGACGTCGCCCTCTCGGCCGGCTCCATCCGCTCCAGCGCCGCCCTCCCCTGCCCCGCCAGCGCCCCCCGCAGCAGCCCAAACACAGCCTTGTTGCACTCGGTCAGGCCAACCTCCCGCTCCAGCTCGCCCAGGATCTGCTCCGTGTCTCTCGGGTTGCGGCACTCCGCCTTGCGCACATCCACCTCGGACAGCTTCGTCGCGATCGAGTCAAAGTCCTCCACCAGCGCCGTCTCGAACGCCGCCTGCTGCTCCGCGCTCATCACCACCTCGAAGCGCGCGCCCGACGCCTGCGTGTGGAACACCTCTTTGATGCAGTACGCGCGCCGCAGCGGCGACGGGTCGTACCACGGCTCCATGAGCAGAACCGTGTGGCCGACGGCGCGGACGCAGTCGCCGAGCCGCTTGACGTCGTTCATCGTGACGTCGAGCTGCCTCGTCGACTGACGGATCACAAAGTCGCACACCCAGAACTTGGTGTTGGGCGGCAGCTCTGGGTGGAGCCGCAGGTACTGCCGCAGGGCGTCCACCAGCGCTGCGAGCGGCGTCTCGAGGAACCAGCTCACAAAGACGGTGGCGACGCCCACGCCAGGGTCGCCGCGCTCGTACAGCGCCTCGCAGTACGCCTTGCCTCCGTCCGCCTCGCTCCGCCTCGCGATCTGCCACTGGTTGACGTAGCCGTTGAGGGCGGCATTGGCGGGGACGCGGACGCCGTTGATGGTGGGCCGGTTCTCGTTGCACTGCTCGACGGCGTCGGCGGGGAGGCCGGCGATGTACTCCTCGATCGCGTCGACAGACAGGCCGAGGGTCAGCCGCTCCGGGAGGTTGCGCTCGGCGGCCCGCTGCGAGACGAGGTCGGCGTTCGGTGCGGCCGGAAGAACAGTGACGCTTGCTGCGCGCGAAGCGAGCAGGTCAGGGGAGAGGGAAGCGCCGCTGCGCGCGGTCAATGCGGCAGGAGCGGCGGTGGCGTCGGCAACGCCGGGCAAAGAAGCCGAGCAGCCCATGGCGAGAAGCCGAAAGGTTGCCGAACAGCGTGCCACCGCAATCGCTGCTCTCAGTGTACCTAGGTATGTAGCTCTTCCGTATCTTTAGGTGCGCGCAGGGGTCGGCGTGGAGGGCGATGAACGCGCCGCGCGGGGCGCCGCCTCACCGGCCCTCGCCAACGCCTCAAAAATGGCGCAGAGTGAGGCGGCGCACCGAGCGAGCACGTGAGCCCCGTGGCTCCAACCGGGCCCTTCCTTTTTTGAGCCGGTGTGCCGCCGCGCGAGCAACGCTCCGAGATTGCCCGAGATAGCGCGACGCGGCGGTGGGTGGGGTGGGGTGGGGGGAGGGGGGGAGCGGCGTGGCGTGGAGCTCCGAGATAGCGCGCGAGATCGCCCGAGATCGCGCGGCGCGGCCCGAGACCGCCCGTGATCGCGCGGTTCTGCGGCGCCCGGGATGGCCAGCATCCGCCCTCGTGGTCGCGAACGGCGCCGGTCGGCGCGTGCGGCTCTGCGTCAACCAGTACGGAGCCCGAAATGCGTCCAAAAGTAAAAAAATCAGCTTTCCGCGCCTCTTCACTGCTCTCCGCCGCGCAGGCGTGTTCCGGGGGCCCAGTGGAGCATTTCATCCAGTGGCGTCACCGGCTGGGGTTTTGACATAGTGGCCCCGAAAGGCATCTCTAGCAGCGTCGTTACGCATGCGCCCTCCCCTCCTGGGCGCATACGCCTCACGTCTCGACAGAGCATAAGCCCTTGGTGTGCCACGAGACGAGTTTTTCGCCATCGCCGCGAGCAGCAAGCCGCCCGCCGCAAACAGCCGGAGGCATCGCCGCAGCACTGTCTGCGCCGCGGTCCCGCACCCGTCGACGACGCTCCCCCCGCGGAAGACCGCTGGCGATCACTGTCCTACCAGCGGGCACAGTGGGCCGCGGACACCCGTGAATGACCTTAAACAAACGCAAGGCGGACATGGCATATCGCTCTCGGGCCCACAGACATCCCGCACACCCGCCGCCCCCCGCGCGCGCCCCACCCCGGCCGGGAGAAAGGGGAGTGACAGTTTGGGACGGCGACAGACGAGATACCTCGCACTCCATGTGCGTGCGAGAACGCAGAGAGAAATGAAAGCCGTCCGGCTCACAAGTCCGGCTCACGCGCCCCGAGCTAACCAACCTTCGCAAGCACACGACCAACCTGTCGCGACGGCGTGTCAAGCAGTACTCCTCGTTCTATCGCTGCGTCACGACGAATGCCAGCACACGGTTGCATCACAGGCTCTCGTCGACGAAGCAACGTCAACGCGACACTTGCTGTTGGAAAGATGCAACGTCGCGTTGCGAGTGTTCAACGTCCACCGCTGACGAAGCTTCCCTCTGCCACTTGCGGTGGTTGGCCGGCAGCCGTTGAGGTCTGGCTGTTATGAGGTCTGGCTGACCGCGAGAGAGAGACCGTGTGTGTTGTGTGTGTGTGTGTGTGTGTGTGTGTGTGTGTGTGTGTGTGTGTGTGTGTGTGTGTGTGTGTGTGTGTTTGTGCGCGTGTTTGCTGAGTGTGGGATATA